CTTAGTAGCCATGGTGCAAGGTCCCCATGGGCTAGAGACTACAAGCCCTGGAAGCAACACTTATTGTAGTATTGGTGCTGTAGGTAAGATTGCACAGAATATGAACCTTGGTGCAATTGATGGAAAGTCAGCTTTCAGTAGCATTGAGTTCAACCTTTACTGTCATGACGTAGACCGTTGGTCTGCCCTTCCACCTTGAAAACACTTCCCTGAGTATTACTGCCCAACCACAAGCAGAAAGAAAACAGAGTACAAATAACTGCAAAACTCTTGTCAGACATGTCACAAAACAAGCATTTGAAGCTAACAACAGCAACACAGCTCAGCAGACGGAGGTCTGGTGATGGCAATCACCATTTCCCTTCATCAGACCACGTTGATTCTTTGGACAGTATGCAGAGTTGGGGAGGGGCCTTCAAATATTCATGGGCTCCAAAACATATCAACTCTAGCCAGGGGACAAGGATGATGGGAGCTGGAGTCTAACAACATCTGGAGGAATACAAGCTCTGCACATTATGATCCATCTCCTACAACCAAGCACAAGAGGTACTGATAAACACCCAGAAAAAAATGGCAAAAAAGGTAGAGGCAGAACGATGAAAACAGCAGAATTTGGGATTATTATTTACTCTGAAAAATTTAGGCACAGGATTATTTCCTCCCTCATCAAAACACAGCTCCCCTATATAACAGTGTCAAAATCAGTGGCCCATCAGATCAACCTTGGGAACTACACAAAAACTTAGACCAATCCTTAGCATCTGCCACCAAATTTACAGTAGGCACCTGGTTCCATCAAGCAATATCTGATGAACATTTCACTATCTTCCATTCAATGTTTTCTGAAGCAGGACAATATAACAGAGAGACCTTACTGACCTTCAGAGGAGAAATGTGGGACTGCAGGACATATCCGTGGACATTTTCTATCTGCGACAAGTTCTTCTCAGAGACGTGGACTAGTTCTGGCCCCCTCACTTCGTGAGTTAAACGAGGTAAACTATGATCGTGTGGAACGTCCTCATCTTGGTAGCGATACTTCTGGGGCACAAAAGAAAGAGAGAGAGAGAGAGAGAGAGAATATTAAGGCTGGGAGAAAAGCAAGTTTTGCACTGCAGTCATTAAAAACCTACTCTAAAAAAGAAGATGGACTCCTAGAAATTGGGCTGTTTGCATTGAATTGTTGTGTCAAATCATAACTCCTACTAAGCCATATAGGGCCTTCTAGAAAAACAAAGTAGAGACCATCTGCTGGGACCTCGATTCCTCCTCTTTATCAGTAGATTGAGCCAAGATGTCTGCTGCTCCGCCTTGCATGGAGAACCTGACACAATTTCAGCCATCAGTTGAGGTTGACAAGGTGCTTGAGCACTGTAGGGCCACCACCTCTTCACTAGATCCTTGCCCGGCCTGGCTGCTGAAAGCGGCCAGAATTGTAACAATAGAATGGGCCACCGTCATGATCAATGGCTCTCTCCTCGAGGGCAGGGTGCTCATTAGACCAATCCAGAAAAAGCCCAACTTAGCGGCAGATTTCAAGAAAAACTTGGACAATCACCTGGCAGATCTGCTTTGATTGTATTCCTGCATGGAGCAGGATGTTGGGCTTGATGGCCTTGTAGGCCCCTTCCATCACTTTACTATGATTTCTGTGATTCTAACAACAGCCTTGCGGTCAGGTCAGTACAATCACTGTCCTGAGTATTGTGAGCATTACTTTTTGAGGAAAGGAAAACGTGACAAAAGATGCATTGACCAGTTTCTCAAGACACAGGGTGAGATGAAATATCACTGACCCCCCTGTGCTTTTCTCTGAATAGGAACAAGCAAAAAGGGAAGCAAATCTATTTTTGCACTAGCCCAGGGGGAAAAAATACCTAACTATTCCCACTCAACCACAAAACTCACAACGCCCACACATAATACCCCACTGCAACCATTTGACTGTTTTCAAGACTTTTGGAATTCCTTTACAGTGCTGCAGTGGAAACTGAGGTGAGGAAACTCCTTCCCTCTCCCCCCTTCCATGTTTCCCGTGAGCTTAGTTTCAGTCTTCACAGCACTCGGTATGCCTTTGGGTGGGTAGAACAAAGTTTCCCCAGCAACAATACATGATTGCAACCTTCTTGTGCTGTAAATATATTCTAGTGGCTTGAGGCCAAATGGGCAATCAAGACCCATTAGCTTCGCAAAAGACCTGATCCTGGAGGAGATTAAAGTTGGTCACGCTCATTCGAAAGCCTGGATCCACAGAGTGGCCAGTATTTTTGGACTTTTCATGGTGCCATGGCTGTAGGGACTGCCATGATGAGTGCCTACTTGGACTTCAAAAATCACTGCAGCATCACTGGACCTCCTAATACGCCCTCGATCCTGATTTCCCTGTGGTTTTAGTTATTTATTTATTAATCCAAATATTTATCAGAACTTGGAAATCTTACTTTCTGCAACTTTCACCTTGATTTCCTTACACAACAGAAAGATGGTGTATGAGTGAAACTGCCATGATGAGTGCCTACTTGGACTTCAAAAATCACTGCAGCATCACTGGACCTCCTAATACGCCCTCGATCCTGATTTCCCTGTGGTTTTAGTTATTTATTTATTAATCCAAATATTTATCAGAACTTGGAAATCTTACTTTCTGCAACTTTCACCTTGATTTCCTTACACAACAGAAAGATGGTGTATGAGTGAATGAATGACAGAATGAATGAAATGAAACAAAAAGTGAACTGTTTAAAGCAGTTTAAACAATTTAGCAACGAACGCTTCAAAGCAATTTAAAATGACTGAAAGCAATTTGAAAAAAAACATTATGCCGTGTCAAACGACGGGTCTGGTATCAGAAACTCCCTAACCTAATAAAGTCCTGAAAACTGTAGCTCTCAAAGTTGCAATGAAGAGCCAAGATTTCACTTGGCATTGGAAAAAAAAAATAGGCCCATGGCAGTGCCGGTTTGGGCTTTCACAATGTGGGTAGTCTTTAACCAGAATGCCACAATATAGAAAGTGCATTCTCTCCTCGCAATGTGTCCCTCCAACTGCTTGGACTCAGAGGAAGGTCTCCCAGGAAGATCTCAATGGCCTCACATCCTAGATCGCAAACCCTGAAACCACATCCTCTATGGCAGTGGTCCCCAACCTTGGGCCTCCAGAAATTCTTGGACTTCAACTCCCAGAAATCCTGGCTAAAAAAGTGGTGGTGAAGACTTCTTGGAGTTGTAGTCCAAGAAGGTTGGGGACTACTGCTCTATGGGCAGGCACAGCTAATTAGCCAGAAAACACAATCCAGCTCATCAGAAGATTTTGCCAGTTCTCAAGATGCTGGTTGTGACAGCCTCCTCACACGTCACAAAGGAGGTGCCACGTCACTCTCAGAGATAAATGTCAATGAGGCAATGCTTGATGAGGACAAAAAACTTGACGTCTGCTCTCAAGATGGAATTAAACTCTTGGGCTCACACAAAGGCCCCACGCCACAGTGATTAAACTGCAGTACTGCAAGTCAAGTCTCTGCTCATGAGCTGAGTTTGATTCCGAGGGCTTCAGGTAGCCAGCTCATGGCAGACTCAGTCTTCCATCCTTCCAAGGTTGGTAAAATGAGTACCCAGGTTGGGCGGGGGGAGAGGCGGAAAGGTGTTGTTTGTACAATTATGTTGTAAACCGCCCAGAGACTGCACTAGTGCTATGGGGCAGTTGATAAGTTTAGACAACGACAAGCAATGATAACAACACAAGCTCTGTTAGGCAACAACTCTGCTGCTGGTTGTATTTTGCCACCTGCTGGGTCAACCCAAAAAAGTTCCCCTATCTTGGCTGGATGGTAAGATTACCCAGCTAGCCAATATTAGCGGGGTTTCCCTTGGTCTGTGGACCTTATTTATTTGTTTGTTTGTTTGTTTGTTTGTTTGTTCGTTCGTTCGTTCGTTCGTTCGTTCGTTCATTGGATTTCTGTCCCGTCCATCTAGACCAAAGGAGTGTCTATTTTCCGAGACACTCCTTCAGACTCATTTCCACCATCACCTGGCCTAGAAGCAACAAGCTCAGCCACTGTTTGATGCATCTTCATGAGAAAAGAGCAACCTCTCAGAATACCAGATGAGGTTTCAGGGAATTGCTACACCTCTCTCAAGACTCCAGAAAGAGAGACCGATCTCAGGGGGAAAAGATGCCAGAGAGAATCCAAAATGTCATGCTTGTGTGTAAAGCCTGGACAGGCATCTCCACCCACTTCTAGCCATGGCTAGGGCTCAGCTGGGATGGTTTGCTGAACTTCTCCTGACCATGGTCTGCCTGCCCTCTTTCAGTGACATCACAGCAGGTCAACCAATGGGAAGCCACTCTTCTCTTTGCTGAGCTGGCAAGCCGACTACGATCATCATCATGAGGACCGACTCCCTCATCTAAGATTCCAGCCTTAAAATATCAGGAAAAGGGAGGCACCCGTCCTGACAACTTTACTCATCAGGCTCATACAACAGCCCGCCAGATGCTCAAATCTCTCTGTTTTGGTATTATTTGGGAGTGAAAAATCACGGGGGTGGTCGAATATTTTGGCAGGCGTCGAGACACAGCTGGTGAGTTATATTCAGCTTGGCAATTCCCAAGTTGTACAAAACTTGTCTTTAAGAGCTGCCCACTCTTTTCTCCCAATTAACTGCAGTTGAACAGAGGGCCCCTCTCCTACACACACACACACACACACACAGAGAGAGAGAGAGAGAGAGATTCATATATTCACAAAGGAACAGGTGGATGATGAATGATAATTACAAACGAGTGCCTGCTATGCTACGCATGGGACGTTGTGTACTTCCAGCCCACAACAGATATTTTAAATCCCCTGTAATTACCTCTAATGGAGCTGCACAGACTTTGCCGCTGTGAATGATTAAATGGAAATGGGGCCCTCTTTTAAAAGCACCAAAAGAGGCAGTGGGGTGGAAGTGGGGAGGAATTATTAATCTCCGTTTGTTTGTTTAAAAACATGAAATGGACGTAGCAGCGCCTCAGGCTTGCGTTGCTGCACCTCGAATATTCTTTGAATTCACTTGTGGACTTCATCCTTCGGAAAGAATTCCTAATAAGGCAGATCCTTCTAGAAATGTGAAGCTGAACAGCTGATCCGGGGTTCAGTGCCCCTGTTCCCGCTTGGCAGAAGTGCCCACCCCACCTTCTCCATGTGCTACCTCTGAGTGGATGCCTCCTCCAGAAGGGGGCAGGGTGTTCACACAGGAAGTGAACGGCATCAAACTGCCGAACCAGCGATTCGTCCCCATCTTTAATTTTGATTGCTGTGAGCCACCCGTACGGAGTTCTTTATGGAGTCCTCCAAGGCAGGAAGGAAGGAAGGAAGGAAGGAAGGAAAGAAAGAAAGAAAGAAAGAAAGAAAGGAAGGAAGGAAGGAAGGAAGGAAGGAAAGAAAGAAAGAAAGAAAGAAAGAAAGGAAGGAAGGAAGGAAGGAAGGAAGGAAAGAAAGAAAGAAAGAAAGAAAGAAAGGAAGGAAGGAAGGAAGGAAGGAAGGAAAGAAAGAAAGAAAGAAAGAAAGAAAGGAAGGAAGGAAGGAAGGAAGGAAGGAAAGAAAGAAAGAAAGAAAGAAAGAAAGGAAGGAAGGAAGGAAGGAAGGAAGGAAAGAAAGAAAGAAAGAAAGAAAGAAAGGAAGGAAGGAAGGAAGGAAGGAAGGAAAGAAAGAAAGAAAGAAAGAAAGAAGGAAGGAAGGAAGGAAGGAAGGAATCTGAGGAAGCAGATCTTGGAAAAGCTACCTTTTGGTTTACAGTTCCCAGAGTGCTTTAGCCAGCCTGAAAAGCAATGCTTCCAAAATCCGAAAAAGTAACATGTCTACTGTTATACTGAAATCTGCCCCACAAACTTCCTTCCTGTGGCACAGCCTTCCACCTTCTGCTACATACTTGGATGGACTGAACCATTTTTTAAAGATTCTAGCCTCTATTATTGCTTTTTCAAACCTTTAAAACCTCTTTTAAACTCCCTGAATGGGGGGGGGAGCCCCTGGGGAGAACTGCCTCAAGATACCATCGCTTGTGCCAGAGCTGAAGCGTGGGCAGCCAGGGAGACCACAGAACCACGGAAGAGACGCTTGTATAAGGAAAGACAAAACACTTTGTCACACATATAGGCACATCTCCTGGCTACTTTGACACTGAACTCAGTGAGAGAACGCTACTCCTCACCCATAAGGACTTTCTTCTGTGCTGGAAACGAGTCTAAACCCAACCTCTTTTCTATCAAATTTTTAAATGGAATACGTTTCTAGCACAGCACAAATCACAATTGCTTCATGATATCAAAGCCTGTTTTGTAACTACAGTAGAAGTGCAGGATCCGTGGGCCTGAAAATATGAAATAAAATCCCCCAGAAACACATGTTTCCCAGGTGTATTACCAGAACTGGCCACTAGAGCAAAACAGAGACTATGCTATATATAGCATTTATGTAC